CCGCCCCGCCCCGCCCCAAGCCCTGCGGCCACAGGCAGCTCGCATTCCTCGCCTCGCATCCAGGCTCACCAAAGACAGACCCGCCGCGGTTCGGGCAGGGGTAGCCGGATGTGCCCGGAGACACTGGCTCCAGACAGAGGAGCTCCTTGCACTGCTGTGCTGAGAGGGAAGGAGCCCAGTGCTCTGCGTGGGGGGGCCTGGAGCCCATCCTGAGAGAGAGCCCCCTGCTCCATGCGGGGTACCCGGGTCCCGGGTGCACGTCAGATCCCTGCAGGGAACAGCACAGCCTGCGTAGGGGGCTGCGGGGTTGAACACTCAGGGAGCGGAGCCCGCAGGCGAGGAAGGGGATGGGAAGGGATCCAGGGGGGCAGGGCCCAGGCCCCGGCATCCATGGGCCACGGTTAACCAAGCAAAAATAACTGAGTGGCCAAGACTATAGCCACAGGCAGGAGCTGGGGAGCGGAGACTGGAGGTGAGCCGCCCCCAGCCGCCGCGCTGGGTCACCGTGCAACCGTCTTCTGTGGCGGCGCGGGAGTACGTTGCGGGAGGCCGGCCAGCTGCACCCCATTCAGCCTCGCTGGTCCCGGGCAGCTCTAGCACAGAGGTCTCTGGATGCGGTGCGGAGGGGCCCCTCCATGGTGGCAGGAAGCTCCAGGCCCGGCTTTCTACGGGCTGTGGCTGGCAGGAGCTGCGTTTTCCTGCAGTGCGTTCACCTTGTGGAGCTCAGCGGCTCTGGGAAGACAGGAGCACTCCCATGTCGTGACTGGGTCAGGCAGCAAGGCAGTTAGACCAGGCTCGGTCACCGGCGAGGCCACAGATGGTGCCACGGCCACATTGCAAGAGCCTCCTCACGTGCTGGGCCCTGTTGGTAGCTGTGCAGCCCCTTCCCCACAGCTCGGGGCCAGTGGCTCCTTCTGGGCCCCCATCAGGCCTCGGTTTTCAAGGGGCCCTTCTGGTTTCCTGCCGCGGGAAGGCTCCGCGCTCCCCCGTTACCTCCAGGGCAGGGTGCTTGTGAGGGGAGATGCCCTCGCTCAGCCTCTCCTCTTTCGTCGCAGGTACTACAAGAAGTTCTCCATTCCTGACCTGGACCGGTACCAGCTGCCCCTGGAAGCTGCTGCGCTGAGTTTCACCCACGCCAACAACACCCTGATCATCACGGTAGGGTCCTGGCTGGGCTCCTGGCCTGGCTTTACATGCAGGGAACCTGAGGCAGGGAGCAGGGTCTCACCTGGCGGTCACCCCGCCTCGGCAGGGGACCAGACAGGGCCACTGGTTCCACAGCCTGGCCCCAGCTGGACAGGCCAGCGAGTCTGGCGAAGGGATTAAGGCCAGCTCAGCTGCCCCCTTCCTCCCATTGTCTGGGAGGGCAGTCAGCATTCACCACACAACACTGCCTGCCTGGGACATGTCCCAGCCCCGTGGCCACCCCACAAGGACAGGAGCCAGGGACTCACCCGCTGCCCAGAGGGAGCAGCCACCTCCTGGCTGCAGCACCTGGGGGAGCGTGGGGGCTCCTCTTGCCCATCCCTTCTGCCCCCAGGCCCATACTGCACCTGCCACGGGGGTAGAAAAGGATGGGCGAAAGGAGAGGGCACGTCCTGCCCCGGCAGTCGGGGCCGGGATCCCGGAACAGGCTGGGGCACTGAGGCTGCCGTATCGCACAGTACCAGAAGCCGAAGGAGATCCTGGCTGCGGAGCAGGAGCTGCAGAAGGAGCTGAAGAAGATCAAAGCGGTGGACGACGGGGATGGGGACGGGGAGTGCAAGACCCAGTAGGCACCCGCGGGCACCCCCCAGCCCTGCTGTTCATCCCCCATCTTTCTCTAATAAAAGCAGCCTGCTGTGAGATGCTGCAGGGATCTCTGTTTGGGACCCGTCTCCCATCTGAGGGTGGGGGGACAGGCACCGTAAGTGAGCCCCAGGGCCTAGGTGCTGCCACAGGCCAAGACCCCAAAGGGTGGAGGGTTTCCGGGCACTGTGGGGTAGGCTTAGGGCTCGTCCAGGTGCCCCAGGGAAGCCCCCCCACCATTACCTATCGGGATGGGCTGGAGGCAGCTCCTGCGCTCTGGGCCCGGCTCTTTCAAAGGAGGGTCTTGGGGAGGGCTTTGCTGCTGCATCAGCCAAGGCCCCAGATCCAAGCCAGGAGAGTCCCATCCACCCTCCGCCCTGGGCGTGTGGCCGCCTGTGAGCTCAGTGGCCGGCAGCAGTACGAAGCAGGGGACTGAGCGCACATCGTGTCGCAAGGACAGAGCTGGGCAGAGCACATGGTGGGGATGAGGGTAGCAGTGACCCCAGGCAGCACATCCCTGCTCCCCCCACCTGGCTGGGGCGTGGGGCATCTCCCCCAGGAGCACGCCGGCCTGGCAACCCCACAGCCAGACAGGGCTCCCAGCTCAAAGATGGTTGTCCATACCGATGGCTTTTGCCCGGGTGCGAGGCCCGTACCCTCTGAGCCACACCTCAAGGGTCGGGTAGTTTTATCGAAGCCAGAGAGCCCCGGGGACCCCGGCTCAGACACTCCCTCGGGTAGAAAGGAAGGAGAGAGCCGGCGGTGGCTGCAGGGAAGAGGGACGTTTTATTCTCCCACCATGTCACGGAACAGTGAGATCGTTGACCTGGAGGTGCTCTCAGGGGTCACCACGTCCTGGACCCTGGCCGGGGTCTCCCTCCTCCGTGCCCAGGTCGCCCAGAAATACAGCGATGCTCGGCTCGGAGCAGAGGGAGGCTGCAGGTCCCAGAGAAGAGCCGCATGCTGAGACCCGACACGCTTCAGGATGCCGCTGTCTGCATCGTTTCAGTGCGACTTTGGGGCTCCCAAAAGGGGAGGGGGCCCGTGCAGCCTGGAGACCAGGCAAGTGGCACAGCGAGCCCGTCCTGCCCACTGCCCTGCTCCAGTGAGGGGTCGGTGCTTGTTCCAGCCAAAAGCAAATCCCAAAGCTTATTTAATTCCAAGCCAAGACGCCTGGAAGCCTGCAGTGCCCTGGAGACCCCCAGCCTGGCCTTGTACATTCGCCATCTCCCCCCGGGGCCCAGAGGCAGCTGCCTGGGGCACGAACACCAGGCAGGCATGGCCTGGGCTGCTGCTTTTGGAGCCTGTTGCGGGTCTCGGACCCTCAGCGTGGTGCAGTGAACATCCTGCCTATTCTGAGTCCCGTAAACATGTCCTCCCCGTGTGCGTCCCAGCCCTGCTCCCGGCTCTTACTTCAACTCCCATAAGGCGCCACGTAGAGCAGCGGTGGGGAGAGGTCGGCCCCACGTGCCCGTGATCCCAAGGCTGATCTGTGCCCCCGGCGGCTGCGTGGCCTGTCCTGGAGCGCCGGCACAGGGCTCCCTGCTGCCCCAAGGTGCCATGTCCCACCAGGAGAAAAGTGAAACCCCAAACCAGCCACACCACCCGGCTGGCACAGACTGAAAGGAGCAAAGGCCCCTTGGTCTTTATTGATGTCTAAGGCAGGTGGAGGAGAGGCTGCCGGCCCCCCTCCACGCTCCCTCCAGCAGCCAACATCCCCGTGAGACGTGTCCAGGGCCACGTGCCTCCGTCCCCACCCGGCAGTCCCTGAGCTGAGTGTCCTGCTGTGCCGGGTGGGCATCAGGGGGCCGTGAAGTCGAGGACGTGCAGTGCGGAGGCCAGGGCGGCGTAGAGGTGGGTGGTGTTGAAGCGCAGGCAGTACACGGGGCTGCTGGTGGGCGACGACAGGGAGAAGCTCTGCGGAGGACCAAGAAGGACAGTCACGGTCTGGGGCTTGGGCTCCCTGCCAGCTTGGGTCGCACTGGGATCTGGGACCCAGAGCCGGGAGCAGCCCCCATCCAGCCCCACTCACCCGCAGCCCGGCCTCACCTGCAGGCACCGGCTCTGCCGCTTGTCCCAGAGCCGCACGACGCCGTAATAGGAGGAGCCGCTGGCCAGCATGTGGTTCCCGTCGCTCCGGACGCAGTACAGGGCGCTGTCGTGGGGTTCCTCCCACTCCAGGACACATTTCCTACAGGGCAGGGAAAAAGCTGGGAGTCAGCAAAGGCACCTGGCTACCTCGGAGCCAGCTGCTGGCATGGGCACCGGAGAGACCCAGCTCCTGGCGCCCGCCTATGTCCCATGCCCCGGGCTGGCTTACCGCGTGCTGGCCCGCAGGTCCCAGTAGCGGATGTAGGTGTCGTAGCCGCAGGAAAGCAGGGAGAAGGGCGTCTCGTAGAGGACGTCCAGGACGCCGGCACCGCGGTGGAAGTCGGTTCCTAGGCAGGTCTCGAGCTGCCCGCTGGAAAGAGATGGGGTGAGGGGGGACTCAGCATGGCCCAGACCTGGTCCCTGCCACACCGGTGTCACAAAACCCCTCCAGTGCCCAGCCGCTAGTGCTGCGGGCATGTAAAGAGGCCCTGGGTATTATGGCCAGCCGCATCCCAGGTTGAAAGGCTGCGGAAGGGGGAAAGAGGCAGCACAGCTTGGCAAGAACAGGCCTCGCTGAGCACTGAAGACCCTGGTAAGAAAGGCAGGAAATGAAAGGCTGATTGAAAAATCATAGACATCCTAGAGAAGTGGGGCTGGGAGGGACCTCCGCAGGGCATCACAACAGAAGAGCTGCCCTGCAGACCCGGGTCCGTCCCGACCAACCTCCGGTGTCACGCGGCAGCAAAGAGCGGTGACTGGAAGGGAGAGTGACCTGGGTCTGAGCAGGGTTTCCCCAGCTCCTCTCTCCCTGGAAGTCTTTAAGGTCCGATGCAGAGGCCGTGCCCGCACTCCCTGCTCAGTAGCGACCAATGCCCCTTTCCTCCAAGCACGTGTCCGACCCCGTGTGAATCTGGGGAGCTCTCGGCTCCCACCACATCTGGGGGCCACGAGCTCCCTGCTTTAATCCCAAACGGGGGGAAACAACGTCCTGGTGTCTGTTTTAAACTGCTGGTCTGCTCGTGCCATGCGGTGACCCCTATTCTTGTCCAGTGAGAGACCGTCAGTAATAAATCCCAAGTGGCTTTCTCTTCTCCACTGAGTATTTGGGAAACCTCCTCCTGTCCCCCCTCCAGCGTCTCTTGTCTAAGCCGACCAGGCCTGGCCCGGCAGTCTCTCCTCACCCCTCCACAGCACCCATCAGCCCCATTGCTCTTCTCTGCGCCTTCTCCAGTTCTTCTAGATCCTCTCGGAGAAGCAGGGACCAGAACGGGGCACCGGGTTCAAGGTGTGGACACACCACGGATGTATGAAGGGGCATCGTGACACTTCATCATGTCACTGGAAACAGAAGCAGGTTAGACAGACACGTGGCCGGGATGGTTGAGTCAGGGATGATCCTGGGCTAGACACCCTCGTGAGGTCCCCTCCAGCCCGACGTTCCTACGATCCTACGATCTGGCCCTTAGAGAAGAGAAGAGCAAAGAGCAGCAAGAGCTCGCGAGCTGCAGGTGTCTAGACGGGGCAGACACATGCAGAAAGGGGCATCGGCACAGAGAGAAACTGGCACGAGGTGGGGACACCACTGCTGTAGTTATGGGGGTGGCGAAACGTGCTCTTCCTTGCAGAGCGCCATTGCCCCAGGCAGCCGTGCTGAGCAGAGGGCGACACAGACCCCTTGGCGCCCTGCCCCAAGAGACACTCAACGTCTTGGAGCTTCGCCACCGGACACGGATTCAAGCGGTTCTTTCTGAGCAGCACCCGGGCTGGCTCCCGTAGGCACCGAGACACGGAGAGGCAGGCAGGTACCCGATGGCAGCGGTACCCTGGGGCTCAGGGATGCTAAGCCGGGTGCTGCAGGCACCCGAGTCACGTCACGCAGCTACGGACACAGCCCCGGACAAGCCCGGCCCGGCCCCCAGCCTCCCTGCAGCCCAAACCTGCCCGCCCAGCTGCCGGAGGGGCCACCTATCTGCCGCTCCCCCCTCCCGGCTTTAATCCCAAAGGGACACAATAAACCTTTGGAGCACCTGCGCTTCGGCCGCCGTCTGAGGCAGGCTCTGGGCTCTCGGGACAATGAAGTGCTCTTGAAAGCCGACAGCATGGGCCCGGCCGGTGGGGTCACTCCCGCCCCCCCCCGGTCCTTCGGTTACTTTATGCTGCTTGATCCCGTGTCGCGGTGGCTCGCCACACTCGCCAAATGCCTTAATTCCATCTGTAATCTGGGCTAAAGCCTCGTCAGGGGGATAAAGACCACACAAAGGCGCGATGGAGTCCCAGGAGCTGGTAAAACAAGCAAACACCTTTGTGTCCGGGGAGAGGGATCGGTGGGAAAGAGGCTTAGGCAGCCGGGGCGCTGGGGTCCCCCCCAGATCAGAAGGCAGGGCCCGGCCCGGGCCGCGCGGCCAGCACGCTTCCCTGATCACAGCGCCGGGGCCGGCCCGGCTCCCCGGGCGCCCTCCAAAGAGCAGATTATGGAGAAGAACAATTTCTTTGTGGCTGTGTAATTCCCTCCGTGACCGTGACTGTGGGCAGCCACACCGGCCCCGATGCCAGGCCCCTAGCAACCATTTAGAGAGGTCGGCCGGCCCTAGCGATGCCCCCCCTCCCCGGCCAAGCCCCTCGCCCGGGCTTTAACATCAAGTGCATGAATTAATCCCCCTGCCGCGGACCCGGGGTGCGGGTTATTGGACTCTGCGCCCCTCCCGGCAGCCACCGCCGCCTCTGCAACCTTAACCCTTGCAGGGGAGGCTGCCACGTCGGCCCCAACACCTGTAGGCGGGTCGGGGGGTAGGGGCACGGAGGAAGGATGGCTGGGCTCGAAGCTCAGGCAGAGGGCTGAGATGGTGGGGGGGTTGCCTCAGTTTTCCTCCGTGCCTCAGTTTTTCCCATCTGTGAAATGGGGAGAGAGGTCCATAAATGCTTCGAGGGGCCTTAGATGCTCCACAGTAGGAGGATGGGGAAGTTCCTCCCCGCCCTGACAGCTGCTTCTTGTGATGTAGATACAGGTCAGGCCGCGGCTGCATCAGCGCGGGGAGCCCTACCTGCTGCTCCGTGCCAGGACGCGGTGCCCTCCGAACACACACGCGAAGCTCACCAGCCCCCACCCAGGGCACAGCCCCTGTCCCACGAGCACGGCTGGGGTCAGACAGCATGGGACACCCTGTCTCCCACGTCCCCAGCCGGCCTTGCCCCATGGCCTGGGGGCAATGAGAGACTGACGGCACTGACGGCGGTAAGCAGGCAAGACTGGACCGTGATCACATCCAGCGTCCTGCCGGGGTGAGCACGAGCCTTCAGAAGGACACGTGGGAGGTTTCCTCCTCTCCCGTCACCCCCACCCCAACCAGGGAGGAGAAAGAGTTCGGAAGGGATAACCCAGGCCCGTCTGGCCAGAGGGTTCAGGACCTGTTCAGCGAGACAAAGCTCGCATGCCCGCTCGAGCTGTGAGAAGGGAGAGTCAAGGCCAAACCTCACGTTTCCCATGCGGAGAACCCCGCGCGGCTTTCACCGCGCGCCCGCCCAAGCCCGAGACACGGCTCAGAGCCCCCTGGGCAGAGCAGGCCAGGGTGCGAGCGACCTGGCACTACAGCCATCCGGCGCGCAGAGAGGACACCAAAGGGGGAGAGCGCAGCAGGGGAAAGGCAGGCGCAGCGGATGCATTGCAATGAAGTCCTGACCTGCGTGAGCATGTGGCAGGAGCCCTACAAAGGGCCCCTGTGCCAGAGCAAGGGCCCCCTCTAAGATGGAGACCACTGCTCCACATCCCTCTGTCCCCCAAACAACACGGCTGCTAGCCCAGACGGCCTGTCACCGCCCAAACCCAACACGAAATGAAGGCCCTCTTTCCTTTCCCTGCAGGCTCTTCCTTTGCCCTCCTCCAAACACCGCACTGAGCCCGTCCTGCAAAGCGCACGAGGCCACAAAACCCTGCCCTTCCTGCCCCAAGCTCAAGCTGTGGGCGTTTAGTTTCTGCTGGCAGAGGACGTGGGCCCAGTGACAGATGCACCCAGCACCTGAAGCACCAGGCTGCAAAGGCCTCTCTTCCTCAGGTGCCCGGCGTCAGTCGCTGCAAACTGTTCAGTCTCCGCCTTCGAGCACTGGACGTCCCTCGCTGCCACGTGAGGCCGGCTGGACAGGTGTCTGGGGCCTCAAGGTGCTGACTGGTGTCTGGAAGGATTTAACGGGAGCTCGGTCACAGAGACAGCCTGTTTCATGCAACATCCCCACTCCGCTGCTGAGGTTCATGCGTCTGGGAAAGGCACCTGCCGCACAAGCCCAAAAGCCGGAGGCGTTCATGTCCATCCATTCTGGTCGGACGGCGAGGAGGATCCTTTGCTGCTTTTCCCTCCTCTCTGGACCCTGCAGCACGCAACTGTTTTTATGCGGTTATTTTTATCATCTTTCAGTGGTATTCGGTGTCTCTCCCCCATGCTGGGTCGGGATGGAGCCGGCTCGCAGGGATCAGCAAGCGGAAGCAGCCAGGGGAGCGTGGCCCTCCCGGACAGGGGAGAGCGACGGCAGCAAGGATGAAACGCATCAGAGACCTGACATGTCCGATCTGGGCTACATAAAGGATCCGGTGCCCCCGATCAACACCCACCGGGGCTGGATTCCCACATCCTCATGCTCTGGCCTCCAGGGTCTCTTTGGTTTGGACAGGGATGATCCTGCCTCAGGCAGGGGTGGGACTAGAGGTAACCTCTGCAGGTCCCTGCCAGCCCCGCGGCTCTGGGAGTCTAACTGAACCCAGGGGGATGTCTTGGTCCTGGAGCAGAGGCTTTCTCCAGGCTTCCAAGGAATAAGGAGGATTTCCACAGAATCACAGAAAATGAGGGTTGAAGGGACCTCGGGAGGTCACAGCTAGTGCAACCCCCTGCTCCAACCAGGACCAGCCCCAACTACATCATCCCAGCCAAGGCTTGGTCAAGCCAGGGCTTAAACACCTCCAAGGATGGAGACTCCAGCACCTCTCTGGGGAGCCTGGTCCAGTGCTTCACCACCCTCCCGGGGAGAAAGTTTTTCCTAATCTCCAACCTCAACTCCCCTTGCTACAGCTTGAGCCCATTGCTCCGTGTCCTGTCGTCGCCCCTCACTGAGCCCAGCCCAGCTCCAGCCTCTTTGCAGTCCCCCGGCAGGGAGGTGACGGCTGCTATTCAATCCCCCTCGGTCTTCTCTTCTCCAGACTCAGTCAGCCCAGTTCCCTCACCAGTCCCGTCCCCTAGCCCCCTAAAAATGTGTGTTGCCCTCCTCTGGACTCTGTCCAGTGTGTTCACATCCTTTCTGTAGTGGGGGGCCACAGCTGGACACTGCGATCACAATGCTTCAGATTTCCTGAGGTTTTTCTATCCGACTCCAAACTCGAAGCAAACACCAACCTCCCTGCATCCAGTTCGGCCTCCTTCGGTCCTGGTCAGCTCTCCTAGAATCCCAGAGCCGCGGGGCGGGCAGGGAGCTGCAGAGGTCACATCTATCCAACCCCTCTTGAGGCAGGATCAGCCCTGTCCAAACCAGCCTGGACAAACCCCGTGTCTGACCTCGGAGCCACACGACACAGTCACCCCCGACACAGCCCCAGGTATTGCCCCTGTCCTCGCCCCTGGGATACAGGGAGGCCACGGCCACCGACATCCTGCTGCTGCCAGTGGGTCACGGACGCTGCAGAGAGCCTTGGCCGAGGCCGTGTCCCCGCTGCAGAGGAAGGCAAACCCCCCAGTGCAACCAGTCTGAGCAGGGGGAAAATCCCTTCTTGCCCCCGTGCAATGCAGGGCTGAGCCTGAGCACAGGGGCAAGACCCTCCTGCCAGGGCCCTGAGGGGTTGGTGCCAGTCCAGTCAAAGAGGGCACGACATCCAGATGGTATCTGAAGTTATACCTGAGTCGGGCTCGTGCTGCAACTGATTTGCAACTCGTTTGGGCTGTTAATTAGTTTGATTTCCCAGCGTTCCTGCTGGGGTTACTTGCTACTGACACACAGCGGACAACGCGGGCTGGCGAGAGCGTTCGGGGGCAGAATATTTGCTGAAACCGAGCAGACTCGAGCACTCGCTCTGGAAATCAAAGTCTGAAGATTATGCCCGTCCATCTGGGATGGGAAAATGACTCCGCGTTAGCTGCACAGCCAATTAAAACAGACCAATGCGGCCGTGCCGCAGGATTTCAAGTATTAACCACTTGGAACAAAGCAGTCGTGATCAACCTGCTAAATACGTATTGCACACACAGAGATGCACACGCACGTATATAAAACCCGTCCAAGTGATCCAGCTGCTTGAGCCGATCAATCCGACACAGCTAAAGCCGAGCAGAGAAGCAAAATTCATCTAACGCTTACTCAGAGCGGAGCATTTGCCTGGCTCTTGTCATTGCACCTGGATGAGAAGAACAAGCTGCAGGCAGGTCTGGAAAGGGCAGCGCCAGGGGCTGCAGATGGCGAGGGGAAACCCTTCCCAAGGGGAAGGAAAGCTTGGAGGCGTGAAGAAAGGAGCCACCCAGAGCCCAGACCCGGCGCGTTTTCGCTTGGGAGCTATAGCAGTCCTCGAGGTGACTTGGGCACACACCCAACGCCGTCAGGCCTGCAGGGAAGGCAGGGGCTCGCTCCACGTGAGGAAAGCCACAGGCTGGAGCCAAGCGGGCCGAAGGAGGAAGCACGCGGGGCTCAGAGGGGATGTTTTCACCAATGCCAGTCCAAGCGGTGCAAAGCCTGTTGGGCCCGAGAGCTGGCGGGGGGCGAGGAGGCCGGTGGCGGTGGGGATGGGGAGTGGAGATCTGCCGTCTTTTCTTCTGCTTTCTCCGGCTGGGCCCACACACACTTTAAATGGTCCAATAAAAAGATACAATTTCTTTACCTTTCTTGCTCTGGGACCCTGTGAGTTTTTGTTGTCCGGGTTCCCCTAAGGTTAAGTTCAGAGGATAAACTGACACGCTGGGCTCTGGGAAAAAGCCAGTTCCTTCAAATAAAGCCACAACAGTGCAAAGGGGACCCCGCTGGGGCTTTTATTTGGGAAAACAAACAGAAATGGCACCGAGCCCTTCTGCTTTACGAACCAATTTAACTATCAAACCCAGGCTCTCCCTCGCGGGGGTGAGGAGGGGACAGAGATGGGGCCCGACAATGGGCCGAAACCTCGGGGGGAAA